AGAGAAGGAGAGAGATAGAAAGAATAAAGGAAAAGAGGAAGAGAGAGAGAGAGAGAGAGAGAGAGAGAGAGAGAGAGAGAGAGAGAGAGAGAGAGAGAGAGAGAGAGAGAGAGAGAGAGAGAGAGAGAGAGAGAGAGAGAGAGAGAGAGAGAGAGAGAGAGAGAGAGAGAGAGAGAGAGAGAGAGAGAGAGAGAGAGAGAGAGACATGCTTTGCCACTCTGTAAGCCCAGTCCTTGGGAATTTCTCCCACGGAACGTTCCCTTTCCGGTGAGCAAAATCATGCAGGTGGCCCCTTTCCCAGCCGAATCCGCGTATCTGACGAAGCTCTCAGCACCAGCAAATAAAGACGCCTAACTACGTCTCACTGTCCGCCAGTTGGAACCGGTTCAAACCAGTTCAAAACCACGACTTACATGATGTCGAGACTCGAGGGTGCGCAATGATTGTAGGGGTTAAATGTATACTAAACTTATGATGAAGCGCCACTAGCTATTCTATTGCCCCAGGCTATCAGTCAGTCATGGGATAAATTACATTGTAATGAGCTAAATACAACGCATCGATGTTTGTAAAGTATCAAATTAGTCTCGAAATCGTGACCCCGTTGGTTGGATTTCCCACTCTTACCGAATACATTTGCAACAACGAAAACATTTCATAACATTATGACATGCAGATTGCAGGACTAAGCGATAATGCAAGCAGCGGCCTTAGGGACCCAGTAAGTCCGTCCTTCTTTGGCAGGCGAAGAGGCAGTGCGTACTCACTCCAGTCTTACGGCGCGGGGAACAACCTCAGTCCCCTTCAGGGGGACGAGGGGACAGTGGAACAGGTCGGGGATAGTCACCTGAACCTGAGCGTGCCGTGGATCCGCTCAGTCCCTCCTAACGGGCACAGTGACGGGTCGAGGACAGACCGGGAATGCTCACCTCTGAGGGCTCAGCCCCCTCCTGGCTGGCGGGGGACAGGAGAATACTCATCTGAATCGGACGGTGCCGGGGAGCCTCTCAGTCCCATCCAGACCTGACGGGCAAGAGGACCAGCGGCGGGGAACTCACCCGAGCCTAAGGGCGCTGGGGACGACCTCAGTCACCTCCTAACGGGCGAGGGAAAGGGGGGCAGGGCTCACTCACCCGAATCTGAGGGCGCCGGGAACCCGCTCAGACCCCTGCCAGAGACTGAGTGCTCAGCCCCCTCCCCCTTGCGGGCGAGTGGACGGGGGATACTCTCACTTGAGTCTGAAGGTGCCCGGGACCCTTTGAGTCCCCTCCAAACGGGCAAGAGGACCAGGGACAGGAATACTCCTACTCACCTGAGTCGGAAGGCGCCGGGGACCCGCTCAGTCCCCTCCTGGCCGGTGAATGGCGCCTTCTGGCCGTGCCGGCTGAGGCAGCGGCCGGGGAAGGAGGGCGGAAACTGACCGCCGACATGGCTCCCTGAAGACCTGAGGGCGGAGGAGGGAATAATATTGTCAGAGGTGGAAAGATCACCTCACAATGCTGCATTTCAATAGGAGGCTGGGGATCAGCGATATGGCACATGTGCTTGAAAAAAAAACACAAAAAAACTGATAAAGAATGACGACCACGCAAACCTTCTACGTGTTTATTGTCTCAGAGCTGATGTGCCTAAACTTATTTGAGTCATTGAGCACGATATCGATAGGTATTCTAAATATACATCGGACATCTGCTCGTCTACGACTAAATTAGTAACTCCATTACATCTTTGAACATCTCCAAAATATCTTAAACCACTCATTCCCCACCTTCCCCCTTGACTCACTGCTGAGCGCCAGGGCGTCCCTGAACGGCTGCAGTCCATCACTACAGTCGTGTCCGCCGGCCGGGGCGGCGGTCACCAGTATCGAGGCACCGGCCAGCAGCGGAGAGCTGCGCTCCGAGAGACGCGGCGAGGCGCGGTCCGATACCGACAGGTGCGGGCGGGGCGACGACCTGGTGGAGAACGAAGGGTCAGAGAGGTCAGATGGGTCAGAGGGGTTACATGGGGTAAGGTGGGGGAAGAAAGCCATACGTGGGAGATCGTAGCTCGTACACGGACCAAAGATAATCAGAATATGGAAGTTAGATGGATTGCGCGTGACCAAGGAAAGAAGCCTCACGTCAGTGTCACGTAACGTAATAAAGGAAACTGGACGCGGGGTCGACCTGGTGGAAAACATAGGGTCAGAGGGGGACGGGGGTAGAAGGATCAGAGGGGTTAATTGGGGTAAGGGAAGATGAAGGCCTTAGGTGGGAGATCACCGTTCGTACAAGGACCAAAATATATGGCCCGATTGAAGTGATAAGAGAAATGGACAAAGGGCAGAAGACATAATTAACGTCATAAAGGAAACTGGTGGAATCAAAATGGAAATCGGCAGGAATTTAGATGGTGTTTAACGAAGGCACACGAGAGCCAAAAGCTTCGGGAAACCAGGAAATTTGGAGGAAACCAAGCCAGTCAACAAACAGGTGAAATGAGAGGCAAAACAAAAACAGCATACACTCAACAGTGCTAACTTCCTAATCAAATGCAGCCACATGATCCACCTCCACCTCAAATGCAGCCCATCGCAACTCCGCAGTCCGCACTCAATCCTGTATCATAATACCCAACCCTGGTACATAGGTACCACCCCAGCCCACAGTCCCTCACCTATGCGAGTGCCGACTGGAGGTGACGGCTGCTGGCGGCGGCGGCTTTCCGCTGAGGAAGGCCAGCAGATCCTCACGACGAATCAGCCGACGCCGACGCAGAAAGGCCACCAGTTCCCGGGTCCTGCGCTGCTGTCCGTGCTGGATGCCGAGCTCCGTGCAGCGGCGGATGCTGTCCACTGACTCTGAGATCGTGGAAACCACGGAGATGTCGGGGTTATAACCAAAATTTAATATTTGACACATTAAAAATGAAACAAAACCGGCCAATAGTTAAAACTAAAAGATTGGCCTGATTTAAGTAGTTAACCAAGAAATATAGCTATTTAGAGTTTGATCCCAAAGTTTCTATTCTCTGGAACTGAGAGACAAAGTCCTAGTCAGATGCAACTCAAACAGAACATATGGCAAATACAAAGCAATGGCCATAGAAGGGACATCAATATCTTTTTTTGTCAGAGGCCTTTTGAGTATTTGACCTTTAACATTTTCATTTGTTCCCACACAGACCCTAGGCTTCAAAGCTCAGATGAAAAGTCCATCTCTTGTAATGAATCGGACTAGTGGAAGGCCAAGGTCAAGCTGTCTCATTCACCTTTATAGAGGGCAGTGACTGAGCCTGCGGCAGTCTGAAACGGCATCCATCTGGTGTTTCTCTCCCCCTGGGCACTGCCACCTGAAAACAAAACAGATATTTAAATGGGCATCAGGCTGCAGTTTATAATATATTCATCTCAGGAATATTGAGAGGCCCTCAGCATTAGGATGTGGAAAGACAAAGGGCATGTTCCTTTTTTGTTTTCAAGCAAGATATGGGAAGTGTGGTCGGAAGATGCCAGTAAAAAACTGGTTTCCCAATCTGTTCAACATATTGAGAATGATGCAGGTAATCACCAGTATATTTAACCTCTTTCACTTAATTTTAACAAGGATTCAATGCATTTAATCACTGTTTATTCCCAAAAATGACACATTTGCCACTCACGGCAAGCAAGGTGCTTGGAAAGTGACCAATGAGAAAATGTATCGCTATAATACCTTTATGAAGTTGTGCAATGCATGTGGCCGAGTTTTGAAATAGATGCCACAATTTCTGATTCACTAGATCCCTTTCTTGCTGCAACTGCGACTCATAGCTGGGCTGGTTTTCGAACTCCTCGAAACACTGATTTTCCCATCTCCAAAGGTCGCCGTAAGGGTCTTCTTCCAAGCTCTTGTCTTCAGACATGTGAAAATATATTCAGCAAGGAAAAACAACTAAGTGCTGGCAAAATAATGCCTGAAAATCAACCAAAACAAAACAGACAAACACTGAAGACCTCGCCCCACGAAAACACAAGAGCATGCTTTGATCAGAGCTGCCAGATGTATGGAAGAGTTATTGAGATTTGATAAATATGTGCAGGTTTTCCAAAAATAACGCAGTTTATCTTGAGAGAATGAAGAAAATAGGGAAATATCAAATTTTATTATCCCCTGCTTGTAAAAAAAAAGGAACAGCTTTTGTAATCTTTCTTGAATCCATTGGCGTGCCATTGGCATTCGTTTATATTCATATCTGATGTTTCTTTATGCAGAAATATTAATTCAAAACATTTTTAGGGGTTCTTGCTGTCTAACTTCTTCCGAGCCTATTCAGAGAGAAATGCGAAACTGTATGCGGAAATTCCATAGAGAAATTCCCTATCCCTAAAACCTGGCATTCTGGTTTAGGAAGTGGCTACTAAATGAAAACTGTTAACCATTCAGCCGAAATCAGGCAACTAACAGCAGTTTGTCCATCAATTATGCGCTGCGTCAGCGGTAGCGGAATATTTTTCAGGCGCCACCAATCGATTTCCCTTGTATGCAAGTACCCCCTAGCTTCATCCCTTTCAGGGACCGGGGCTCAACAGCGCATTGCGCATACCTACCTAATAAACATGGCGATTGGCGGGGGGTACTTACATATGTACTTCCCAACGTAAAGCCGTTTTCGGCAGCGTTAGTTTTGCTGCCGAGAATCGGCTAATGTTCTGAGACTATATGAGCGTTCGGTACCCTCTGCTATACCCACATACCAATACCACTGGCTTGATGTTGCACGGGATGACGGCACCGGCACTTACCTCTGTACGATTAGGTGACTGCGATTAGGTAGCACAACTTCATACGAATATGACTTTACTTTCGCAGCTAAATTGATTGCCTGCGTGTGCATTGCTTGTTCGGCAAGGCAGAGCGAAAGCTGTTTGGTTAGCCTTTCACCAGGTTAGCGGCAAATCAGGCCTTCCAAAAATGTCTACCAAAACGCGTTCGGTCCTCCCCATTAGCTGATCAAACCAATGTCATTCACCAACTCCACAGGTTGACGAGCCATTGTATTTCTCAGCGAGAGATAACTCCGCCTCTCCAGCACATACATATCGAAAAAAGCACGACTCATAGTCGATCGCATCACCTGAACGAGAACAACAGCGGCGAGATATCGGTTAGAGCGGGAATCACAAACGAGTAGCATTGCACTTGGGGACAAGTAAGCAGAAATAAGCAGATACACTAAGCGGGATAACAAAATGCTAAAACATATGAAAAGCATACAATGATCCAAAATGAGTGAGTACGTTCAAAAGCAACAGCTGGACAAGTTACGGATGTGCTAAAAACATCAAAAACAAAAATAGTGTTTGGCACGTATAAAAGCTCCCCAAACGAAAAAAAAAACAATGGTAGCAATGTGTAAAAAGCACAACGCATCGAACAACCGTAAGCCATTGATTTGGTAGACATGCGTCGTTCTCACGTACCCCGGCGTAACATCCATGGCAGCCATACAAACATGTAGCCCACAGAGTGAGTCAAACGATTCCTAGTAACAAAACACCTCTGTCACCAAACCACAAGTGACATGCGACAAAGGTCACACATTCTCTAAATTGGCGGTGGGCGAGACAAGGATAATCTCATCAAAACAGTAAAATCCGGCAGCGGTTCTAACGTGGCACCATCTACACTTTCCAAACACGACCTGAACTTCACGCATCCATCACTAGGCGGCAGCACTGGCGTCTCGCACTGGCCGAAATGAAGCACCAACGAGGGGAGGGGCGGGGGATGGGAAGAAATAATCGTAGGGGAGTGGCATGGACGGGATTAGGCTGGGGGGGGGGACATGGGGAGAGGGGAGAGGGAGTGAGAGTAGAGAGCCGTGGCGGTGCAAGCGGACCAACAGTAGCTTGTGCGTGGCGCAGAACATTCTCCATCAGCTCCAACGATCATCCGATTAGTGACTAACCCAGTCACCCTCGAGCTTCACAGCATCGTCCAGCAACCATCACCTGTGCGTCACATATCATCACTCCAATCTTCACTCGCCAGATACTGAGCTGTGGTGGAGTGTCCGTCACCAGGCTCTCACCTCTCTCACCCAGTTCACCCTCACACACTCACCCTCTCACACATCTGTTGTCCTTATACTGTGCGAGACCAGGTCCCCTGCGCCCAGCTCGGCAGCCGAGGCGAGGTCACCGAGTGGAATAACTACCACGTGAGGTTCCCCCCGTCCGCCAGTTGCTCCTCCTACCGCCACGGTCGCTGCTGCTACCGCCTCTTCGGTCTCAGAGTCCTCCCTCCCTGCTGACGCTGCTGAAGCCACAGCCGTCGCCGCTGCCGCAGAGGCAGACGAAGACGACGCAGAATCATCACCTTCTCCTTCCCTTCTCACTTGCGCTTCGGCCCCTCGAGATGTACCCGCGTTCCCTTCATTCTCTGTATGCGTTTGCCCGGTTGGTTCGGCTCCCTCCAGAGCGGCAAACATTGCGGCAGACAGGGGTCCATCGGCGGCCACAGGATCGTCGGTGTCTCTGTTGTAAACGATGGCGGCGATTCGAGCTGGATGTGGAAGAGGCAGTGGGATCTGTAGCTTCTCTGCTGTGAAGGGCGTGTGGCGATGCCGCTTCCAGGGCTGCAGCTGCTGCCGCCTGGCGGACGAGAGGGGAAACTGTCAGGGGTGTGGGTAATAGTGAGAGCATATGTTTATCGGCTCATCAGGTTATAATGAGGAGTGGAGGTGAGGCTTACGGACGCGGGTTTTGGGGCGTAAAGCGGGCTGGGTAGGCTGGAATAGCGTGCACAGATGAGAGACCAATCCTCATCGCAGGAAAGCAAGTCGTGTCAATCAGCCTTTAGCCACGTTAGCACTCCGCATTTTCGGTCCGCCAAGACTTTCGACAAAACAGAATCTATTTTGATCTCGTTATCATCTGATGATTAAGAGAAACAGGCGGTGACAATGCATCATTACAGCATACTAAGACAAAAGCTTTTTATCCTACAACCGTCATCCCCTTGATAAACACCCTCCCCGCGGTAACATACGTGCTTCTCCGCGACTGCGACCCCGTCTGTCTCTGTCTGCCGACTGGCGAGAAACAGTTGACGTCCAGAGACGGCGGCGCCACCTGGATGTTTTTGGCCGTCTGTACGGCCAGCACGGGCGGCGGGTCGGAGGCGGCGGCCGACCGCAGTAGCTCCGTGTAACGACTGAGGTTTACTCGGTGAACCTGGGGACACAGTGGTGTCAGGGTGTAAATCTTGCTGACCAAAGTATGGAGGCATTCATCAGGTTCTTGGCTAGGGGTTAGCCGTCAGATAAGCTATAAAAAGCCAAGACAAGAAATCAGCGCGATGGGAATTAATTAGCTTGGACATATTGGCTAACCTCATACGGACTATCGTTTAGAGAAAAGTATGAAGAGGATATCGTTCTTAGTTGAAATTTATTCACTTTTCAATCCCACTCGAATCCTCCCTCCTCTCTCTCTCCTCTCTCCTCTCAGAACTCCGCCCAATCTCACCTCCAAGTAGAACCTCGTATCGCTCTCCTCCATCGGCGTGAGCACCTCCTGTGAGAACACCTCTGTGAGCAGGAGGGCGCAGAGTGCCGGCCAGTCGGCCGGGGCCAGGCCGCGTCCCTCCCAGAACTCGGCACCGCCCGACGGGAGCCGCGAGAGCACGTGGTGCGGGTAGAACTGCTCCAGTAGGCGCGCGCCCGCCACCAGACAGAGCTGCGGGGAGGGAGGGATAGGGGTTAAAACTGAGACGGGACCAGTCACCAGACAGAGCCGCGGGAGGAAAAAAGGACGGATCAGAATTGGCGTGCAATGGTCCTCACACAGCAGCACAAAAACACAACAACGGTCGGGATCTGACCGCTTTACTCTTTCTGCTCTGTTTCTCCTCCTGCTTCTTGCTCTGCGCTATTTCTTGATGTCAGAACTCAAGAATCATTTGTCGGGAGGATCAGAAATTATCGGGATCCGAACTGGAATCCGACATGGAGAAATATCAGATTAACTGATAAAAAAATTGGTATATCAAATTCGGAGAGCTTGGACTGGAAGGTTAAAGCTTGATGACTATTCGGCTGGGGGTCGTGGCACTCAGTAGTAAGATAGTCTTGGCAGTCATACTGCACAAGGTGCCAGATCTCGGCATACCTTCAGGTCCCTGGGTGTCATTTTGACCTTCTTCCTCTGCGTCGGGGCAAGGCCAGTCTGTAGGTCGTGCAGACGCTTGTCTATTCGCTCCTGGAAAAAAAAAAAGAAAGGGAAATATGTTATCACCGTTCAATGCTGAAATGATCACGAAATCCTTAATAATCCCAGCTGCCTAATCAACCAGTTAGAACTCTTGTTCAAAAAATAAAATAAATTCAAACAATCAAGCGCCTAACAACAAATAGTGGTTACCGTGTTTATCGTATGAGACATGCACCTGCACCCTAATTTGTTTATTTTTGCTTGTTTGCGTAATAGCCAACGAAAACGTTTTCCTAATTATTGTGCAGAGCAAAAAAAAAACCTTACCTGCAGGGTGTTGGTGAGCTGCTGTGCCTCGGCGTGTAACTGCCCATAGACCCCGTCCCTGCAGAGCTGTACCGAGAACGGCGTCAGCAGACGCTGTACGAACTGTCCGAACGCCTGCTGAGGCTGCTGGATGCGTCTCTCGGTCTGCTGCTGGAAGGCCAGGAGCTCGTCCGCCTCCAGACGGGCCTCCAGGGCGGCCAGCGCCTGCTCCGGGCGGATCTGGAATAACCGGGGAAGGGGAAGATTATTTGGGACAGGGGTTAACGTACGCAGTGAGAAAACTACCATCAGTACGTAGCCCAAAATTATTCACGACAAAAGTGCTGGGAGGTCATGGTAAGAACAGCCTTGATTTTACCGAACATCATAGCAAGTAAAACAGAAGTGTTAGGGAGGAGCCGGACGAGCAGCTAGTTAGTCCTCACGTCCCACGACCTTCGCCTGCACCAAGTCCAGCACAGCGAAGTCCTCACTTACAGACAGTTGGTTCCCGCCTGAAGACACTCGCGCTAGTCCTACCTCATTTCACAGTTAACCCTCAAGGTTCCTCGCTTTTATCTGAGGGCATTCAGACCTCATTTATAGACAGCCAGTCCTAGCTCTCACCTGAAGACAGTAGTCTGACGACAGTCCGGGCCCGTGTACTCGCGTCACCAGCAGACTATCTGAGCACGGAATGCGGCCCTTTCGACTGATGATCAGGTCGTAGGCGGCACGGTCCCAGAGGCGACGCAGACCCCACCGCAGCCAACCGTCTGAGGGGGGGAAGGGAGAGGGGGTAATTGAATCATTGCTGCTTGGGAAGGGAATAGATTGAACCGTGCGTGTGCTAGTTACGGTTTCGAATCTCGTTGACAGCATATTCAATATGCTTCAGTGGCTACCGGAAGTCTGTTTCAGCCTTTACCGGTTGCCACGATCTCAAGAGTGGCAACCGAGTGTTTTTTTTAACTCACTCAAGAGTAAAAAAAAAACTGGCAGAAAGCAAGAGATAACTCCATCGCCCGTTCCCACCGCCCCTTAACCCGCGAGTTGCTGGGGGGGGGGGGGGCGTTAAACGCCCCCACTTTTTTCGCCGGGCCATAGTATAAAAACGGCGCGCCGCAGGCGCGCCAAATTTTGGGTACCTGTAGGGAATCGATTGAAGTTTATTGTGACAAAGTTTCAAAAAAATCGGTCGGAAAAATTTTGAGATATCGAGGTTTTAGTGACGTCATGATTTCTCAGTTTTCGACCAAAAACGGCATATGTTCAAAAAATCATATAAAATCACAGAATAGACATACAGACATGCCGTAAAGGCCATTAGACTGCCAATACCATGATCAATCAAATGGCTATCTTCGATTATTGATTATCGTTCCGCATTTTCCATAATCTTGAACTGAATCTTGGCAATTTTCGTGACTACTTCACGACCAAGATACATGCATTTCTTAAATTGAACTTTTTGAGCCAAACACGTACACATATGATAAAATGAATGTCACCATCGTATTATACGCCCCAAATTACCTATAAAACATGTGTCCA